AAGTCTGCTTAGTATTGTGCGCGATCAATAATTAATATTTATAAGCTTTTTCTAGCTATTATAAATATTAATATTGGTCGACGAGTGTATAATTAAGCTAAATCAAAACTAATTCAAATACCAGATCGAGAAAAATACGTACACCCATGACCAATAAACAGTTGTTCTTGATTTGCATTAGACTCCGAGTTCAATTATGTGACAACAATTTCATCTATTGATAATCGTTCGGCGCTCTTCCTTGTCCAACAAATTTTAATTATGTCATAACGAATTACGAATGTCATAACAAATTTTTTACATACTAAAGGTAACCATATTAAAAGTCAAAACGTTTGTAAATGTAAATTGTTATGTAAATTGTTTATATTTGTTATTTTCAATATATAAACAGCGACCTACACCTAGCTTAGCTTGTACAGTCCAATTTTTTGTATTCTTTGACATGTTTTTTTAAAATAATGAATTTCAGCACATATGGTAGTTAAAAACAATTAAAATTTATTTAACTTAAGGAATTGAGTCAAATTTGACTCTAATATCTATCAGTGTAAAACGTCTCTATCTCCGCGTCGATCGATTTTGGTCAGGATTCGGTATGAGAAATAAAATATCGTGTCTCTTTATATATCTAGGTTTATATTTACAATGCCGGCTGGCTGTGTGTTTTTATATGTACAGTATTTACAGGTATTTCGCCGTTGGTACGGCGAAAAGACGCGCGGTTTCTAAGTATTATATATAATTGTAAGATTAAACGAACTTACCAAGTGAAGTTCGATCTTAATTATGCCTTCCGTCTCGTCCGGATGGACAACTATGTAGTTACGTCTCCGTGCCTGCGTTGTCAACAGAATTCACAGAATCGTAAAAGTAGAAAAGGGGGCGCTCCGGCATCCAGGCCCCAAGTCCACCATCTTGTCTCTTCATTATTTTAAAGTCTTGAAGCAAATCGCCAAAAGGGTGGGAGAAGCGCGTAAGCGCTTAGGGTGAGGAGAGTCCATCCGGACGAGACGGAAGGCATAATTAAGATCGAACTTCACTTGGTAAGTTCGTTTAATCTTACAATTATGCCACGTCTCGTCCGGATGGACAACTATGTAGTTGTTCATAGCGCGATTTGCAAATGAATGTGTCCTTAATAAAAGGCTGGGTAGTAATACATCAAACTTATAACAAAAAATTAATTTGATCCTTATCACAAAAGAAAAGATAAACAAATAAAATATCACTAACTAAAAAACTTAATATTCTTAATGTAACTTAATACTGCTACTGATAATAATACTGATAATAATATCCTAGGACGAAAGAATGGAATTGCAGAAGTCGTCTGCGTTAATCATTGGGCGATTATAAAAATTCGCAAAAGTTCGAGATTCTCCGGACCAGCCCGCTGCTCTCTTGATAAGATCCAGAGAAACTCCCCTAGCGGCAGCAAGGGAGGTAGAAGCATGCCGAGTGCTATGGGCTGAAAAAAGATCGCTCCGCACTCCGCACTCCTCCAGACCTCTGCGAATCCAGCGACTCACCGTCTGGACTCCGACCGCTTTATAGGGTTTAACACACGAAATAAACAATGCCTCACAATCCGGAGGACGCAGTTCTTTGGTACGCTGTAGATAATGTTCTAAAATGGTAGCAATACAAAGCTCTGGGCGGTCGGAAAACCGTGGAAAAGTGAGGAAAGGTTGGATCCGACTTGGGGCAGAGGTCTTTATTCTGTCAGGAATTCTAATAATAAGTTTATTATTTGTAGAAAAGATATATGGGACTCTAATAGCCGCGAGAGTCTGTGCGCGCTGTCCTGAGGCTAAGGCTAGGAGAAGAACTGATTTCCTACTGATAGTATCTAGCGTTAGGGAATCATAGGGAAAAATTTTTGCTAGCTTCGCAATTATCGGAACTGGGTCCCAAATAAAATCGTACCGAGGTTTCTGTGGTTTCATGACACTGACTCCCCTGCCGAAACGTTTGATCAGGGGGTGATTGCCGATTGCGTTGTCGGAAATCAGAGAGACTGCTGAACGGATCGTGTTAAACGACGAATAAGAACCGACCTTCTTTAGTTCCTGAGTAAGAAACTCGAGTACTTGGTTAACTTCCGGAGAAAAGGGTGAAACCTGATATTTCTGACAGAAACTCGACCAGGATCTTAGAGGGCGAGCGTATTGTTTAAATGTGACTGTAGAGAGCGAGGCCAAAATGATGTCTAAAGCTGATGATGGGACTGCCTGAGATCTGAATGCCTTCCTGATAATTTCCCTGCTGCCAGGGAAAGGTTCTTCCACTCCGGATGTTGAGGTCTAAAAGGAGATGATAGAAGAGAATGAGAAGGTGCAACAAAAGATAGGGTCAGCGATTAGAAGATGAT